GCCGCGGGGTCCTCGAGGATCTGAGGGTGGGGGAGAGGGTGAGGGAGAGGGAGGGGGAGATGGGAGGGAAGAGGGAAGGGGGTGAGGGAGGAGAGGGCGAGGGATAAGGAGGGGGGGAGGAGGGGAGGAAGGGAGTGGTCGAGAGAGAGGGCGAGGGGGAGGAGGAGGCAGAGGGGGAAGGACATAGTGAGGGAGAGGGTAAGGACCAGAGTGAGGGAAAGGTGGGGAAATGGGTGAGGGAGAGGTTGACTTATCAGTGGAGCGAGGAAGGGAGGGAACTTGGAACGAAAAAGAGAGAGAAGGTGGGGCGAAAGAGAGCGAGTGGCAGAAAGACAGACAAACAATCAAAGACAAATAAAACACGACAAGGAAAAGAAATCACAAAATAATTACTTTTCCAGAAAACCCGCCACAGAAGAGTACCAAACCACGACCTCAAATACCAGACCCACACACCCACCGTGGCAGGATACCAGGGCAGGGCATTGCGGCTGTGGTCGGGCACCATGAGCTTCAGCCTCCTGAGTCCTGCTTCCTCCAACGTGGGACCGAGACTCTGCTTGATCCAGTCCCTCTGGTCCTCGGCAGTCCAGGCGCAGGTGTTCCATGGATAATCCTGTGAAGGAATTAGTATTGTGGAAAATGACTGTGCAGTTCGTCGTGGAATAGTTGGTTATGAATATGTGCCCTACTGTAACATCTCGCTAGGAATCGCCAATTGTAAGACGAATGAGTTGGGTCTGAAGAAAGATGTTTTCGCATGAAAAGGTTTTTTCGATGTCCAGAAAAAGGTATTATTAAGCGTTATGCAATTACAATCACGATGGTACTTAAAATCTAAACAGAGGCTGTAAATCTTCGCTTACTTCTTCAAAACCTGTTAGTGGTTCGTTCTGTGTTGTCAGGCCCCACAGCGGCGCCCCCTCTGCCTCGTATTGCTTTACAAATCTTCAAAATAAAAAGACAGACAGCTATTACGCCTGAGAATTAGAGCCTATAGAAAACAAACTTATATGCAAAGCAATATTCAGCAACGCTATCGAAACCAAAGAAACAGAGAGAGTCTCACTTTACGAAATAGTTGGACCAAGGCTGCCACATTTCTTTCAGAAGTCCCCCCGACCCGTTGAAGTGTCCGTTTTCTTTCATCCAGGCCGGCGGCGACCAGGGGGAACCAAAGAGCATGAACTCCTTCTCGCTCAGTTCTTTGGCTCGACGGATGTAAGGGAGCTAAAGCGTAAGAGAAGAGAAAAAAACTGAAGTGATAGTGTAATATATCATGTCATTAAGGTATTATGAGGTAGATCTGAATCAACAATTTTAGGCTGAACTTAATAGTGCTGCTGTTTTCCGAGAGAGAAGTTCCTGTTTCTTAATCTAGGAAGGAAGAAAACAGACACTTAAAAGGAACAATATAAGGCTGAGAAAATCAAACTAAACTATTCATTAAATGAAGAAATAAAAAAGACGAACATGACGCCAATAAAAAAACAGCAAATCCGAAAAAAAAAAAAAAAAAAAAAAAAAAAAAAAAAAATATATATATATATATATATATATATATATATATATATATATATATATATATATATATATATATATATATAGATATAGATATATAGATATATATTAGAACTAACTGAAGAAGAAAAATCACGAAAAGTCAACAATCAACAGCACTTGACTCAACTCCACCTTGTACCGGTAATCCTCAAGAGTCAGGTTAAAGTGGGAGAGTTCCACATCGCCCTCCACATCATCGTAGGAGTAAGGGCGAGTGGAGAAGTCACTCCCACCGATCGGGACGCGGCACAGGTTGTACTCCAGCCCCTCCGGCGAGAAGTAGGACCTGCAGAGGCGAAAGGGGTTAAATCGGAAGGAAGCAGTGCGGAGGAGAAGGAGGAGGTGAAGACGGAATAAAGTAAGGTGAGAGGACGTAGAAATTCAAGAGGAAGGGGCGGTCAAGGTGAATACGTGTTATGTGATTTATATGATTTTTTTAATTAGTTGCTAACCTTAAAAGCACACACGCTGAGAGAGATAAAGTTATGATTATACATACATATATATATATATATATATATATATATATATATATATATATATATATATATATATATGTGCTGTGTGTGTGTGTGTGTGTGTGTGTGTGTATAGAGAGTTATAATTATACATATATGTGTATGTATGTAAGAGAGAGGGAGAGAGATTTGTACATCTAAGTATATTTGTTTATAGAATATATTTCTTTTATTCCCTAAATTGCTAAAAAACATACCTGAGCAGCACTTCCTGCGTGACTTCGGGCAGCGAGTCAATGTTGATTCCGGCGGCGTCTGTGAAGGCTCCGCCAAATCCCATGATAGCCTGGTACTCATACCTGTCATCGACGTGCACGACCACTGACGCTGTAGAAAGATGATACTGAATTACGGAACTCATATACACTATCTCACATAACTTATACATCGACCTTAAGACATCATATAGCAACAGAGAG